CGATAATGCTCCTCAGGTGAAAATGTTTTCATTTACTTCATTCCACATGATATTGTGATGAGAAAGCGTCTAAAATATATGTTGAAATGAAAGGGGAAAAACAGACAAGCAAGAAACAGAAAGTCGATAGTTAATGTAACATCTCACAGAATGAAGGGAAAGATCTCATACTGGCAGTCTTTTGTGAAAGGTTACACGAATCATATTTTTTTTAAGGATGAAAGGAGACTCCGCTCGAAAGTCCGAGGTTCATACGCTTCATTTACATAGAATGGGCGCTGCAGTTACAAGTAAACCACTTAAAAGTAGCTTTAAGTACGTGATATCAAAATAAGGCTAGTAAAATAGGATTTGTTGTTTCTTGTCAGCGCCTGAATGTGATTTTGGCTCCCCCATCAAAAAGATTCATTATCCAATGTTCTACCAAAGGGAAAAACTTGACAGAAATTCCAACTCCTAACATCGAAAGATACCTTCCGGTAAAACCCCGTTCACCAGCGCAAAAACACTCTAGAGCCAAAAGTCCCATGGATACCTTGTCAGCCTAGCGGAGCACCCAATAGTCAATAAAAATCGAAACATGCCATGCCTGAACCAATTGTGTCCGTCTGGCTGCAATCCCTGGTCTTCCATCAAGACTTCACCTCAGCAGAATCAACAACCAAACGGACTACAATCAAACAGCATCAGACGGTCACACAATCGTTTATAAAGAGTGATGAAGCCACATAGGTCTTATTTGTGTAAAGGATATTATTTGTCCATGATACAAAAATAATGAAGAACGAAAAACGCGTCAAAATTTGAATAGCCCCTGACGAGAAACAATATATCAAACTTCGTCTACCTAACTGATTTCCAGAGGCCATAGTAACTCGCGTTATCTGCAGCCGGTCCGCGCACTGTTGAATGTTTCTGTACATTTTGTCAGGACTTTGTCAGTGCTGGCATTTTGTCATTACATGAATGTTCGAATCCGAACCTTCTCCTGAAAGAGGGAGGATAATTTAATTGAGGTAAGATTTTTGTTCACTATTCGAATTGTTTTAATAGAAAAATTGATGTCGAGAGTGTAACTCAGTTATATTGAAGTGAATTATATAAGGTATCAGGTGTTTCGAGTGAGAGAATATTAAAAACTATATAAAAAAACAGCTTCAGTTTCCAGTTTATTGTTCCAGTGATTGCTTATTTCAAGGAAGTTCGAGCTTTGCAATAAAGAGGACAAATGCTCATTTAGGCCTATAGGTAATGTCTGGGACATTGTGTGCTCTCGAACAACGTTTTCAAATGGGAAGGCTAAAGGGAAAACTGGGCACTTGGTTGGGTGTGTTTATGGTCACCCTAATTTATCAGGCTTTTGACTGACATAAGGAGAACGATGCAAGTTCATGCTATCCCCAGAATAGTCTTCGTTCATACAGAAATAATCACCAAAAATGAAAACAGACATGTTTTCTTTCGGGGAAGGTTGTAGTTCCATTTTCCCATCCACTCTCCCTCCAGATCAGGTGATATAATTATCAAACAACTGGTCATAAATCAATAAAGGGTTCTGAAATGAACGAACTAAAGAAATTGCCCAAAATTTTCATGCAAACAATATAACCCCTTTTTGTCCCTTTCGTTGGGCTGCGGAAAAATTCCGCATGCATTTTACTATTAGAAGCTGTAGCAATGTGTTAAGGGAATGCCTCGAAAAAGCCTTGAAAGTTTTGTGTGTGGGTCTGCACTATACAGAAACAATTACTATACTGAATTCAATCTTTCCCCCAAATTTCCTCCAAATTCGGCCGCTGCAAGATTGAAAAATGGCCTCTCAGTGGCAACTGAAGTTGGGAAGTCCCAGTTTTCCTGTCAAATGCAGTGCAAACAACACGATGAGATAAACCACATGTAAAGGCGGTTATTTATGTTATCTCGCCAGGAACTGCTCATGCTCTGAGTCATAATCGTATGATCTCTGTCTCGCAAATAAAGGGACCCAAAATATCTACAGTTCTCGACCAAAACAACCTAGTCTGGTTGTATGGTTTAAGGTCATAGCAACCCTAATAAAACTGTGTAGCATCGGGCAACTACATACCAGAATTAAAGATACACACATGAAATTATTTTTGAGTTCTTGCACGTCCATGATACAGTAGGTGCATAGCTGTCGGTTTCCTGAGAAGTGCCAAATCAACAAGAACAAATCTCTTATGATAATTCATTGCAATGATTTAGGAAAATGGCCAAAGACAACCTCAGTACTAGCATTTCAGTCAAAATATGAACCACATGGTATTGATTACAATAAAAACTTATTCTGTGCAGAACAAACAAAAGAAAACAAACACAGAAAATTTTTCGAACTCATTATCAATTATCATTCATTGAACAGCTGCGGTAATTCAAAGGGCAGTTAAAAATGATGTTGATTTTTTCCTTCGCTTTCCCATTTGAAACGTCAGCTTGATTGTTCATTAGTATTGCATGTTGTTCAAATAGGTCTTTGTCTTCTTCGCATTACATAGAAATGGCTACCACAGTACCACTGCATTCTGCTATTGAGAAGCATCTTGAATGTCCAATATGTCACAACAGATACAGACAACCCAAGGTATTGAACTGCCAGCACAGCTTCTGTGAGGAATGTCTGGTGGAGTACCATGAGAGCGGATTTAAAGATTCACCTAAGGTCCCTTGCCCAGTGTGCCGTCAAGAGACTACATTTCCGAAGATAGGCATACAAGGCCTCACGACAAACCTCACTTTGGTTGGTTTGACCGAGGACTTGGAAAAAATTGCACCCTCCAAGGACTCCAAGTTACTCTCGGGGACATGCAAGGGAGACAACGAACCGTCACATCACCGCATCGATGCGTACAAATGCCACAAACACGAGGGCAGCGTGAAACAATTTTACTGCAAAACATGTGATGAAGTAATATGTCACAGCTGCATAGTTTCTGAACACACTATCCCGGTACATGATATTACTGAAAGTGAGTTGGCTGCAAAGAATTTCAGAGAATCCCTCAACAACAAATTTCCCGCGTTCACAAGGAACATACAATTCCTCGAGGTTTGCCTGTTGCATACAGATGAGGCGAAGACGTCATTCAACAAAAACACAGCGAAGACTCGACAGGTGGTGCACGACAGAGCTGCTGAGGTCATAGCCCAGGTCAAAGCTGAAGAAAAAAGGATCATCGATGAGATCGCAGTCCAGGAACTTGAGCAAAGCAAATGCTTTGATGAGTATAAAGACAAAGTAAATAATTTGATGGAGAGAAAGAAATATTCACTTTGGTCGGCCCAGGTCATGACGAGGAACGCCTCGGATAGTGACTTTCTCTCGTTGTACCCATTAATCCAGAACGACATAAAAAATCTCAACAGCCAAGAACCGCCTAAGATTCAACACAAACTTTGGTGGCTGAGGTTTGTGAAGAGTCATAGAGCAGACGACATCAACCTAGGCGAGGTGGAGCAGGAAGGGGATAAGTGGGAGGTGCTTAACGAATTTGGCAAGCAGAGAAGCGGTGATGGGGAGTTTGAATTGGCCAGAGGTGTCGCTGCTGCTGCTGAACCTGACGAGATAGCCGTGGCTGACTGCAAGAATAACCGAGTGGTAATCCTCGACCACCGGGGGTTCATAACAAGACTTATTCCAGTCTTGTCTGGTAGGTCAAACGTATAGGGTGACTAGGCAAAAAGAGCCGACAACATAAAAGGCAATTCATAAGCCAGGAAGGAATTTTTTTAATAAAACAACACCAACATTGGTGGCTCGGTGGGTCATTTTCTTTTGATCGAGCAAACAGTGTGTACTCGTCATGAAAATTGCCATTTCGTCCAGAGAAAGTAATATTTATGATATTCTGACTGAATACGTTTCCCCACCTGCAATCGTTATGCCTCTGCTCTTCTGTCCCAATTACACACAACACCCTGGTTTAATTCACCAGCTTTCTGGTCACACAATTTCTCTGTGCGGAGTTGGCTTTTACGGCATCCCTGTTTTAACAAAGCACTTTTCTTTTGAAAAACAGGAAATTTTGCAACTACAGCTTTTTCTATTGACTTTTTGCACACTTGAATGTGCAAGGCGGTAATGCTTTAACTAAGTCTTTTTTTTGATAAATCAAAGGAAAATCTGAAAATCTAAAGGATCAGTAGGGCTCAGGGGGTTGTCAATGAAGACATAATTTATTTAACCTTAACGGATTTCTATGTATAAGAAACTTACGCAATACGCAAACTACTGCTTGAGTGAGGAACACCACTGCAATCAACTGCATTCCCATTGTCACTCTACATTGAATGTCAAATAAGCAGTAGACTCCTCTACTGATGACTTTTTGTTTTGTTTACATGTTTGCCTTTCTTAAGGAGCTTAATTCATCCTCCCTGTTGTGTTCTAATACCGTAAGAAAATGTGCATGTCGACAAAGCGTGACATCATCAGCTCCGGGCCTTATTTACCATTAAATTACCATTACGATTACTTACCAATAACAGCATTCGCTGTATCCTTCCTGGCGTTATTTCATTATGTTCTGTGCCCCATGATATAAGGAGCGTGTCGCGACACACAAGATTATTCCGTGTTCCACCTGAATTTCTCTTCAACCACCAGCCAAGCTGTTCTGCATCAACGAGTTTCCACTGCACGGAATCCTCTCCACCGGTACTCAAGCCCCACACACTCCAGAGTTCGGCACTCTTTCTCCTGAAGACGAACAGAGCACACTGTTCGAAATGTCGAGTGAACCCCGGTTCTTTTCAGAACCACACACACTCAAAGAGAGAATTTGTTTACATGGTGTCACCGCAAACTTCACATAGTTAATTTCTCTTCAGTTCATACATACCAAAGACAGTTAATCCGTTCCTGTCGGTCAAGATTCCGACACTAGCCCAGTGTTAAACGAGTGATAAAGCATCGGCTGGCTCATTGCGCAGTGCGCACTATAGGCGCGTCAATCTCTGTACAAGCAGACTGAAATACGACCAATCGCCACGGGCTATAGGGTTGTTAACAATTAACATTAAGTGAAATTGTTGAACAAAACAACTCCTTGCAAATTTTTCGTACTTAAAATATAATAATAAAGATAATAAATGTTAGCCGCTGCAGTCGGGTAATGTTGCGTCCATTCCCCTAAGCCGGTCTTAAACAACGTTTTAAACTTCGTTTGTATATAGTTGTTTGTTATGCAGACTGTCCTGGAGACCTGAAAACGCAGACACAAATGGGGGAAACGTTGCATGACATCATGCGTGGCACTAAGCGAGAGGGACATCGTTGCACGCTAATCATGCCAGCATGTGTTTTTGCATTAGTATACCAAGCGTTAGGGCTACTCTGGTCTTTACCCTGACGCCTTTAAATACAAGCTTTATCCAAAATGACACGGAAACATACTTTTCTCAAATAAGTATGCTACCTTTCTATGTGCCATTAAATTCCACCATTTTGACAGGGTTCCCTAAAACAACGGACACTATCCGTACAATAAGTATTTTTTACCAAAATTCCAGAAAACAGAATGGAATTTTTGTTTTCCGGTGAAATCATCAATGACGACACCGTGAACTGAAATTTACGACCGAGATCATTCAAATTTTCTCCACAAATGCACACTTTCTGTAGTGTAGACTGCTCACAAAAAGACGTATTCTGTCCTAATGTGAACATCGGTACATCAGTGCTTGTATTACTTTCACACTTGTCCTTGATATTTAAAGGAACCAGGAAATAGAAATAATTTTAAAGGTTTTACTAAAACCTTTGAGATTGCATCTTTGGGTTTCAAATAACCTAGTTTTAAAGTTTTGTTTTGCAATCTTAACCCATATTTTGATTTTTTTTTGTTTTATGCTGATAACCTAGTTTTAAAGTTTTGTTTTGCAATCTTAACCCATATTTTGATTTTTCTTTGTTTTATGCTGATGCTTCTTGTATATTCATGAGCAGACCTATGATGTCATCCAAGGCACTGAATCTCAACATTGCACTGATTAGTGCGCAGACCATGTCTAGATTATTAAACCACTGCTACGGCAGATTTTATTTTTTATTGGCAATTTATTGCTGCGTAAGTATATGGCAATAATCCAGCAAAAACCTTTCCACAGAAATGATCCCAGATAGCAAATTTGGATTCCAAATTTGAACATGAAAACATGTCTTCCTGGATTTACATATCTAAGCATAAGCGCCTTCACTTGCCCAGAAATGCTTGGTCAATTTATAATGTTTGATAAAGTGCACCGTTCAGTTCACGTAACTCCAAAAAGATGTCAAACAGTCTTCATACAGGTAAGAAGAGTACAGAGATACACATAAAGTGATTCTAAGAAAATTCTCGGGCATCAGATGTGACAAGTCGTGGGTTGTGCAGATCTGTCCCCTCAAACTTGTCCTGAATATTGTGGCGGGTGGTTCCTTCGGGCCTGACATCAGTTCAAGGGTCAAGTCTGAAATGTAATTCACAAACCATTGTTGCATTACATGAACAGTTGCGCTGTCAGCAACCATGACTGATGTTGCCCGACATGAGATCAATTACTGACGCTGAACCCAAGCTGCACTGCACACCTCAATGTTGCACTGCCTGAACAATATTGCATTGCATATCCTAGTGTCACTGTAGTGATACGGCCCGCATACAAAATAATCTGTGGACCAAGCCCAAATCAACTACAATGCACCCACGTGAACGGCTGGGTTATACGAAGATAGTCCGCACGCACCTACCATAATAGTGGCACACGCAACACCTTGTAGCAACACATCACAGCAAAAGCATCTAGAACTTACGTCTTTACAGTTGAGCTGACGCTTGTTAGAACCCTATGCAAGCTTCTCCCACTTCACGCATTCGCAAAGATCAAGCACAAATCAAGGAGCTTATTACACAGAGCGCTACGCTCCGCCCATCCTCTGTACCACGGGACATGGACACACTACTTCAGTAATGCAATCCTTATTATGCAGAAATAACAATAATAACCCTAATTATGCAGAAAGTGTACGAACTAAAGTTCGTACACTTTCTGCTATAATATTGTTAGTGTAGTTTAAAATCAAAGTTAAAGGAAATAAATAAAAAACTAGAGGTGGTGTTAGTGAAGAAACACATAGCTGTTCCCAAAATGCTTTATTGATCTTTGATGACAGCCGACGAGTATCATAAGTTTGCAATCAATTGGATTACAAATAATTTCCAAAGTGGCATGTATAACTAAAAACAAATTATCACTGCAATTGAAAGTACAGTGCATGAGATATGACAGTTTGTGTGTAACAATACAACTTCCGGTCAAACCCGAAGTAGAGGTCATATGAGGTTTGAATATAAATTTTCATCTATAACACGTCCCTGACTATGTGCATACCAAATATGAGTGAAATAGGCCAAATAGTTTACCCGATCGAACATGTACTTCGTGAGATAAAGGGCCTTAAAGAGTGCACATTTAAATTAAGGTCAATATTGCTCTGAAGCACTCCCGTTTCAAGATATCTGCAAGACTTGAACCCAATCAGACATCTACTTCGGGAGATATAGGGCCTGAAAGAGTGCACTTGTAATGTCACGTGACTTGTCTCCTGATGACGTAATCAGCACAGAAATGTGGCTTGAAAACGTGTACAAAGTCAATGGGCTGTGAACTCGTTTGCAGAAACACTGTCATGTCACGTGATTTGTGCTTAAACTGAAAAATTCGGACTCTTAAGCATATATCAAATCAAATAACAGAGCGTAAAGTACCCGATTTCCCTTTCGTTATTATAGCAATCTTGAGGCGAAACAAAGTACTACTCGGTGAATAGCGAGTTAATAAAGTAGAAAAACATGTACAAAACCTATGGGGAAAAATAAAATATATTAAAAAACCAATACTAAATAGGGCGATTACGTCATCACGAGGTCATAAATAAGGCTTTATTTTTGCATAGTGGTCTTTGTCGGCTTTAACTATGATTACGAATGAAGATCGGCAAGTAACCAAAATTGTGCCTTGAAAATATAAATATATAAATATCAATAATAAATAACTTGGTGACGTCATCACGACGTCAATTTTATATGCACTTCTTTGAAGTAAGGTCCTTCAATGAGGAAAGTTTGATGAAGGTCCAAAATTGCAAAAGGACCAAAGTTGATGGCACCATAAACGTGCACAAAACACTTGTGCTTTTGGTAAGAAGAAGAAGAAGGAAGAAGAGAAAAAAAAGAACAAAAAGAATGCCTTTTTGCAAATTTCAAAAACGCAAAAAAAAACTTTAATGATTACAATAGCTGCTCCCAATCGGAAAACAGCTTATAAAGAGTCTTTTAGTAATGCACAACTATGCAGATGTGCACGACGTGAACGTTGAATGAAGAATAGAGATTTGCAGTATAGCACCATGTAATGATATCTTTTTCTGAGCATGTGTGGTTCTGAAAAGAATCGGAGGGTATGCTCTGTCTGTCGTCTGGGGACTGCCGGACGATGGACAGAGCATATACTGTCCAAAACGTTGAGTACCTTCCAGTTCTTGTCAGAGCAACACCAACACCATAGTGCTACCTCAAAAATCTAAACTTAACTTGTCACCTTCACTACTTAAAGCTTGGAAGCTCACGTGAACGTTGAAGACGTTGGAAAATGCTAATGGATTTCACTTCAAAATAGTTCCTGATGTAAAGTATCTTTTAACAGGAAATCATACAATGACGTATATAAGTTTAATAAATCTGATTTTTTTCTTCTATTTTTTTTTTAGCTGACGTCGTCGCTACGTCAAATGGGTGGGTATGTGCTAACCCGAGAAAGGTATTCGTCTACCGTCGAGACACGGCGCTAGCCTACGAGTTTTACACCGTACTGTCAAGTGATGTTGGTAGGAAAGACGTTCGTCTTGTGAGTGCAGCAGTCATGAAGAACGGTAACATCATAGTTGGGGATAAAGAGAACAAGGTGTTGACCGAGCACGAACCCGGTGATGGTAAAATCCTACGCACCATGCCGGTGGAGATGGCTCCTGACTGGTTGGCTGTGATGAGCAACGGTTGGGTTGTGATCAGTGAAGAGGACCAGGGACGAGTAGGCATAGTAGATGTTTCTGATGGCAACGCCATCCATGTTACCACCATCCGACCAATCATCAACGGTAAACAAGTGGAACACTGTAGCGGTGTGGTGAGTAACAGATCGGGTATTTACATAGCAGCAGACACAGGTTTCAAGAACACTGGTCACATTCATCACTACGATTGTTCAGGTCGGTTTGTCAGCTGTATTGCAGAGGGTCTGCATAACCCCTGTGGAATCACATTCACAGCAGATGGGCAACAGCTGGTACTCGCTGACTGGTACTCCGTCAAGATATATCACAAGGTGTGATGTTATCTACCGTGATGCTGATTGGCATATCCTTCCCCGCTCTGAGCACGCCACACGCTTTCTTTGATCTTTGATTTTGCATTTGGCAACAAATAAGCCCCATAAATCAGGAATTTATCTTTATATGTACCAGTGACTCCTGTGAAATATTTAGGAATTCACATAATTGGTATGATTGCAAGATTTATCAGTCCACTGTACCGTAGTTTAAAGTTAAATTAAACTTGGTCCTACTATTTCCTGTTACGATAATGGAATAATATTTCTTTGAATGTTGGATACAAAGTATGACAGTGAAATTTTGAAACCCATGTATCATAATAGGCTAAGAACACTGAAGACTATGTCGATGTTTTATAGGATTTCTGTATTGGTTTGTCAACATGGAGCAAGCACAAGGTTTGAAAACACTATCTTTACTGGTGCTGGTCATTATATCAAATAGCCAGATCCTTAGAAAAACAGTCCCAGGACTCACACATTTAGGTGACCAACTTTATGTGCAATGCTGTCGATAATTTGCGGCAGCAATCAACGCCATCTCAATAAAGTACGTGATTTTGCTGCATAATTTGGTTATGGTTTGTCGGCTATTGGAATATTGCGGTGTGCTCCATGTTCCAGTGCATATATTCATCCTTAGCTTTGTCAATGAAATGAATGTCTATGCTAGTTCACATAGAACGCAATGGAAAATAATGGTTTTAGTGTAAAAGGGGTTTTTTTAAAAGAGAATCTAGCCATTATTTTTTTTATTACTGTCATATAAGGAGGGTCTCTGTGAAACACTGGTAACGGTATCAGACATTTTGCACTTCTTACCGATGGTGCAATGTGTATCCGGTGTCCCTTTCCCAATGTTTCACACCGATATGCTTCCTAAAAGGTACACTTTCGTTAATGAATAAATAAGTAAGGGAAAAAAAAATACTTTCAGCTGACTTTTTTCATGATGGACTCATGCAACGTGACAATTAACTTTTACAAATAGCAAGTAGACCTTGAGGTACATTGCATATATCATTAAAAAATATGTTCCTAATTATGTTAAAAACACACTTGTAACCTTCAAATTACTTAATTACTTTAGTTTTGCTCAACATTGCCGCACTGAATATTTTTTTCTGCTCTTACCATTAGATTTAAATTGAAAATATTAACATTATAGACTTATTATATGATAGCTGCTCATCGAATTACGCGTCCAATTGGATTAGCTCGAATTGCATTTTTGTTTTGCTCAAAACATAGATCCCTGATTCTAAACGTTAGTACTACAATAACATGTAACATTGACATTTTGTCACCAGGTGACATTACCAGTTACCTTTTTATGAAAAAAATGCATTAGCATATAAATCATTGTGGCATAATAAGCCCCCACAATTGCATAGTGACTATTGGTAGAGAGGTTGAATGGAAAACAAGACCTGCATCAAATACATTGCAAGTGGCCTAATATCTTATATTATCAGGCAATAAGCCTCGTAATACCAAACCTGCTTTGTTCACAAATTTTTTTCAGGTGATTAATTTATTAACATGTTTTTACACCATGAATATAAACTCAATAATATATGAAATATAATAGGAGATAGCTTTGACTAAGTTTCCGTTCGTGCTCTCTCTCCAGTGTAGCCTTTAGGGCAGCTGACATCACAGCCTTTCGCCACCGTAAGCACCACCGCTTAAATACACTTCCCTGGGCGTCCTACCCCCACTAAAACACCACATTGGCTTGAAATGAGGAGGGTGGGGGTTGTATATGTCACCACGTAGAACTTTATCCCTCATAAATATTCATTTTCCCAGTCAATGGCGCGCAACTGTTACTTCGAACGCGGGCCGTTTCGGCGTCATTCGGACACCGACTGGATTGGAGATGACATCTTTTTAAAACGTCTCCTTTCCTCGCATTCATTCCCCAGGCAATGCACTCTATTTATTCCTTTTTTACCAACATAAGTCAGTAACTATCAATATCATAATGTAGTGTTTCGTCTTTAAGACTCACAGGCCTTAATTTTGTCAGTTCTTCCATTTTCCTTAATTTGTCTTCCTTTGCTGTTTTAATAATTTGTATTTTCAACACGTCATGGCGCCTGTCAAATGGAATTATGGCAGGAAGCTGATTGAGACTTTTATAAAGTATAAGTATATTTAAACTTCTTTTGCGTATAGCTTTATCGGCATTTCATTGAACCATTCGATTCATTTGATAATGGCATTTATTGGTGATTTGGACGCTTACCGGATTGGATATGATATCTTTTTAAACGTCTCCTTTCATTCTCCACAATAAATCAACAAAACCAGAAATGCCGAGTCCTCTGCTCCCTTAAACGACTCAACATAATACCAAGGGTCACACATATGACTTCAATCATTCATTTGGGGTGATGGTCCAGTTGATCATTCTACACTTTTTGGTGTAGAGAAACTTACACACTTGCCCTGTGTTCGTTGTGGATAAACCCTTCGTCATTGTTTGGCGTGCACAATTAAGGGAATTGTCCACTTCAAACAGAGGGCGAGGGTTCCCCTTGTTTTCTGAGAATGACCCAATCTACATCCAGAATTTGCATCTTGGCATGAACAGAAAAAAAAGCCCTTTTAAGCTTATTATAGTTGAGGTCTTATGGCGTTGCTGCTTTTTCTTCAACCAGGCCGCTGCAGAAACACTCATTCCTGAAAAAAAGTCCACAAGTTTGTAAGGCTTTGAGTGCGAAATGCACCCTCCCTTGATTCCCCTCAATGATTGTATCAACATTTATACTTCATTTCAAACAATGCCGTGAGAAAGTATTTAAAGAATATGGTGGACTTTTTACAAGAAAAAACTCCAGATCAAAATGTATTGTATTAAGCACTGCGGGTAGAGATCAAACACCGACAGGTTTTGGTAAAGGCTCTACATTATGGAAAATGTGAGCGGAATGGAACGATGTGACTACGCTCAAAAATCGGAAGTTCATGGCCTCATTTGCATAGAATGAATGCTATAGTCACAAGCTCCCAGT